CACATCAAGTTCCATACAAGACTGGATTTCCATAAATGTATGCCAAGCTCTATCAGTTATAACAAGAGGGGCACATTTTTGTTATTAAAAACACAAGCATTTTGGTTTTTCCATATCTGCCATAATAGCATAGTAAACTTTTCTTCCAAAATGGGAGAATCATCCTAGCCTCCCAGAGTTCCACTCGTCAAGCACAAAATCATTTGGACTACAAAATAGTTGAAGATAATCACTAATACTAAGCCACACTTGTCTAGCTATGATCAGAATCTTCCTCTTCCCTTTATTTCGTATTAGTGCTCGGTCTAAATCCCAAAGCACTTCAAAATAATACAAAATACAAGGCTTTGCACTCTTCATATTTGTATTTGTACTCCTTTTAAATTGAGCCTAAATAATTTTGAAATTTCAACTTTCTATGCTTTAGAAATGCAACTTGTCTTGTTAATTAGCCATTTGTTTGAACAAAATCAATGTATAAAAGACATAAACGCATTACGCATGCTTAATCATGGATCTGAAAATATTTATTTAAAATTTTGGACCCTTGGTCATTTTAAAGATAAATTTTCAGAACTTTTGAGGCTTCAAATATTTCTAAAATGAGCTAGCTTTGTAAGATCGCCAATGATCAATCTTTACATAAACTACTCAAGATTTAATAATCCAAGGAGTCCTATGTAATTAAGGTGCAAATATGCCCATAGTGACTAGGATGAATATCTATTATCTGAAAACTAGCTAATACTTCACCCATAAAGTGCTCTCATCCAATCACATGCACGCGATGAAAAATTGATTCATGAATTATCACAAATTTAAAACCAGACCAAATTGTAACAAAATGATTTGGCCTATAGGTTTAGTCTTATATTATAATTAGCCATTTGTTTACAGTTGCTTCGGAAATGAGGTCACTGTAACTTTGGAGGAGAAGCTCTGAGGCACGTCTGAAGACACCGTCTTTAGAACATTATTTGCCCCCACTCAGTTTCACTGAATTTATTGTTGGGTTACAGGTAAATCCGTTCCCAGGATACAACAGAGCCTTGGGCGAGAATCTACAACCAGCAAAGTTGAAGAATCTCCGAAGAAACCTTCTATGAGACTGTAGCAGACCGGACTTAGAGAGAGAGAGAAAGTGGATTTCAAAAATGTGTGTTTTTGAAGTCTAATTCATGCTCCTTAAATAGTTTATGAAGAGGTATGAAGAAAAGGTAGGTGTTGGTTCAGAGAAGGCACCTTGAACAATCACAATTTCAAACATTATAACTGTTTAAAAGGTAGTTAATGACTGTTAACTTTGAATTGTGCCTCTTGCTCACACCTGATCGAATCGTGACCATTGATCTCATCAATGGTGATCAACGGTCAACATCGCACCAAAACCAAAGCCGCCGAAGTGCGAGCAAAGTGCGCCTCTAAAGTGCCTCATTGCACCGCACACACGCGCGCACACGTTGTGCGGTATCAAACCCCCATACTCTCCTCTACTATTTCTAAGGAGTGTAAATCAGCTCCTATTAAAATACTAAAAACAAAGCTTATAATTTTCCAATGTGGGATAAGTTCAAAACTGGGTTTTGTAAGAGAAAAACTAATTTTCCAAACAAGTGTGCAGGTGCAATTTCTCATGTAATTGACCAATCAAACCCATTGGATTTAATCTCTTATGAGATTAAAATCCAACAATTTGGAAATAATCCCATGTACCAATCCAACTTTAAGCATTCAACTAATGCAGTAAATAACATCCAAGAAATTTTGACAGTCTGCACCAATGCCATGGCCCACTAAAGGTAGGGATTCCCTACTATGGCCTAAGATTTTGGAACCAATTTCTGCATTGAGGGATGGGGTTTAGTAATCATTTCTCTATTCATCTAGGTATCGCCGTTAATATGTTTTTATTTTGTGTTTTGATTATTTCTTTTCATCGCATTTAATCCTTTCTCATTAAGTCTTATACTTAAAGGTATTAACTCTTATTTTTTCTTATTAAATTTTATACTTGAGTTATTTTTTAGTAATAAATGCTATTAATCAGATTTATGTCAATATTTTTAACAATATAAACCAATATATTTTAAAACTAACTCAAAAACAAAATCGTTGTTTATCCAAGTGGCGGCTAAGCAATTCAACGATCCGAATCAAATTGATTAACTTATGATGTCATAGTTAAGTAATAAATTTTTTTTTAAATAAATATAAATAGGGCTGGCAATCTTGACTCCAACCCAATTGACCCACCCACCTTGGAACCCACTCATACTCACCCATTCTTTTGGCGAGTCAATATGGGTCGAACAACCCATTAGGGTCTGTGGAAAAGGATCAAGGTGGGTTGGGTCAAGGGTACTCATTAAGGTCATGATGGGTTGGGTCGACTGTTTCGCCAAGTCTCATAAAAAAGCATTTGCTATTACTCAAACCCAAGGCCACTTAGCATGTCCATGTCTTGCTCCAATTCCAAGCCACCAAGCAACATTTTATTTTGTGATTAAAAGTAAAACAAAATAAATTTTATTACCTTTTATATTCACATGTAATCATGGTTTTCAAAACCGTATTGGACCGGACGATTAGATCGGAAAACCGGGAATCGATCACCTGACCGGTTTCGTTTTTCCCCCAAAACCATTGATTTTGGTTAGCAAACCGCTGAACTGTCCGATTAACTGTTTGAACGGTTTTGACCATTTTTCAAATTTTTTATTTTATTTTTTAATTTTTTTAGTTTTTGTCAAAACGAAACGTTGGACTATTCGAACCAGTAACCGGACCCCTGACCGGTTCGGTCACCAGTTCGGTTTTAAAAACCATGCATGCAATTTAAACAAAAAGCATATATTTATACTTAACAACTTAACTAAAAATTAAAAGATAATATTAAAAATAGTATTTTAAAAACTAATATAATAAATAATCTATTTAATAATAGAATAATCATTTTAATAATTAAACTTTATAAATTCGCATATGATATAAATCTTAAAATTTTTATATGTTCTTATAAGTAATATTTTAATTTACATTAATAAGTAACAATAAAATATTTATTATTTACAAAAAATAAAAATATTACAAACAAAAGTATTGAAGAATATAATATCAAATTGAACCTATCAAATCCACTAATCTACATTTATTTCAAAAAAAATTGATTTTTTCATAAAATTTATAAAAATAAACATACTAGTAATGGAATAATTATTTTAGTAATTAAAAATTATGAATTTGTATATGAAATGTATCTTTGAAATTTTAGCAAATTTGATATACTCCAAGTTAAGATTATATTTTTATAAACTATTAATTAATATCTTAATTTGAGTTGATTTTTGTTGATTTAAAAAATTAAAATAGTAAAATAAAATAATAATTGATATAATAATTAAAATATAATAGGTGCACATGTTTAGTGTCTTGGACTCTTGTTTGATCCATTATAAATAAAATTATATGGTATTTATGCACCATAGTATATTAATTGTAATATATTTCTTCATATATATCATTAAAATTTACATTTTCTATGTATTTATATGCTATTTTGTCATTATTTTGATCTTAAATTTAGTGTTATTAATGTATTTATATAATATGTATGTATTTTCCTAGCGTATCCATATGTTTCCATATTTGTTGTTAGTATCTATGCATTTCCAAAGTATATCCGTATCCGTGTTATCCGATACGATACCCGATGCTGATACTTTAATCTTTGGTTTTAGTAATTCGAAAGTCTTTGTTCAAGTTGAGGGTTTTTGAGTAAAGGTCGAGGCTTCCTCCTACCATTTTTTACCATGTTTTTATAGTATACTAGTGGGTCCCGCGTGATGCATGAAAAAATCTGAAAGATTTAACAATTTTATTTACTATTAATTAATATTAAATTAATAATTAAATTTTTTTTATTAATTATTGTTAAGTTAATATGAACAAATATTTTTTTAATAAATTTAATTTTTTAATAAATCTAGTTACAAAAGCAAACATTTTATTAAGTTCACTAATAATTAACATTTATATAGGAATGACAACAGGGTGGATTTAGGGCAGGGCACCCCATCCTTGTCCCTGCCCCATAGTCAAGACACTCTACCCCATCTCCGCCCCATCCCCAGTGTTAAGGCGGGTTCAAGGCAAGGCACCCCACTCCTCATCAAAGATGGAGAATCCTTGAATTTTTCTGTCCCGTCCCCAGTATTGGACGGATTCGAATAGAAATGTAAATCAAGTCGTGCTGGGCTAGCATGGCATGACCCGCATGCGTTTTCTCCCTTCATACATTCAGAACCAATTGTATGGCGCCTCATCTGAAAGGTGTAACTGTGTAAGTGATCCAACAAGCCTATAGTCTCAGAACTAGGATGTGACAATCTTGGGGCCCTTAAACTCCTTAATAAATATTTTGTACAACATGTATGTTGGAAAGAAAATCGTTGAAAAAGTTTATTGATGTTGTTTTGATCCTTACGCATTAGTAGATACAATGGTTGAATAGTGAAAAAGAATATGATGGTGGTGGAATCATGAAAAATAAGTTTTCCTAACAAATGATTCTCATATAAATTGAGACAAATGTTTATTTGATAAAGATTTAATCAAACAATATTTCAAACTCTATTAGATAAATACCTATATGGCACTAAGCTGATACCATTTTTTAAATAAAGAATAATAGAACCAAACACATATATGGCAATAAGCTGATGCCATTTTTTAAATAAACGATAATAGAACCAAACACCATCCCAGTTAGACTCCCTCTCCCATCTATGAACCAACTTTTACATTGGTTGTCCTAACTACATATGGAAGTTAAAATTCATCTTGCTAACCTGCTTCTGGGCTTATGCCCGACTCATGATGTGCCCAATTGATTGAAAATTCTAAACTAAAAGAAAAAATAAAATAAAAAAATCCTGGGCACAAACTAATCAGATGTAGAACAGGGTAGAATTAATGGAAGGTACAAACAAACAGGGTAGAAATGGGGGAATTAATCATATAACTAATGTTATAATTCGTCCTATTATATTTTTCTTGCATATTTCAGATCAAATCTGATAGATGGTATATGCTGGACCTCGCAGAAACCCACTCCATTCCCTTTGATGTTGTCTTCGAATTCTTTTGGCATTTTAATCACATCCAGTTCACACAGCGTAGTTATGAACCTCAATCCTTCTGGAACCATTTTCCACCTATTACAGTATTCAATATGTAAACGTCTAAGTCTTGGCATTGCTCCTTCTTCTATTCTCCATTTCTCTAATTCATGTAGATCAGAGAACCCAAGAAACTCAAGTTGAGGAAAGCCATTTCTAAGACAAACCATTTCCTTCTCTACATATGATTCAGTATACAGGTTAAGCACCATCAAAAATGGTAGCTTCTCAAGCGCAGATAGCTGCAGTTGCCCAAATCTGGACTCCTCTAAGGTCAATTTGGTGAGTTTTGGTGGAAAATCAAGTGGACCAGGTAGCTTTTCTATTTCTCCTGACAGATTCATTCTCAGGGGATGCTTAAAACCAGAAATTGGTTCCAGACTATGAATTAGTTTCCCAAGCCCATTCGACTTCAACTTCAAAGTTTGAAGGTAGTGGAATTTTCTTACGGATTCCAACACTGCTTGCCCTTGAGATGGATTCAAGATGCTCAATATGCTTAATTTTCGAAGATTAGTCAAATTGGCCAAATGGCCCAAATCTTCTTCCATCCATCTACTAACGCTGACATTCAATAGGGCTTGGAGCCCTGTCAAAGTATCTATTCGCAACTGTAAATCCTGGTTTTGGCGCTCAGGAAGACAAATGTATCTCAGTTGTTTCATCCTCCATATCACGTTGGGTACAATTAGTGTGGGGAGAGATCTATGAAACAGATCTAGGGTTTCCAATCTCTGCAAGTTGCCTATGGAGCTCGGAATCTTTTCAATGTTAGTGTTCCTTAGGCCTAAGTACTTCAATTGCCTTAACCTTCCTATTTCCTTAGGTAGTCTTGTGACAAAGACGCCCTCAAGATCCAAGATCTGAAGCGATTTGAAGTGCTCACAGACAGGCTTCAGTTGGTAGCTTCTCAAGACAGTGAAGAACGAAAGAGAGCGGAGTTGTGAGGTATGTTTCTTGAGGGAGAGATAGTACCTGTCTGCATCAAAATGCACAGCGTTCCTTCGCAATCCAAGAGATGTTTTTGCAGGATGATAACTTTCAGCGAAGTTCTGCTCCCTTGCTTTTGACACACACAGATCTCGCATGAGGTCATGAATGCGGCATGTCTTAACCCTTCCAATTGGGCTGATGGATCCCACCTCTAGAATAAACCTATCAAGCAGCTCCTCGAAACACTTATTTGCAAGGCTTTCCAAGGTTTCTCCCCGTCTACATTCGACTATGAAATCCTCAACGAGCCACAGCTGGATCAATCTCCTTCTGGGGATTTCGCAGTCCTCTGGGAAGAGTGCTAAATAAAGGAAGCAACGTTTCAGGTGGTAAGGTAGATCATCGTAGCTTAACGCCAGAATCCCCATGACTCCTCCTCCATGTTGTTCCCCTTTTGCAAAGATGGATTTGATACTTTCGTGCACATCCTCCCATTCATAGACAGAGCTTTTTGTTGCTAACAGCCCTCCTAATACAACGATGGCCAGAGGCAGGCCGCAACATTTCTCCAACATCTCTTTCCCAATCTTCTCTAAAGCTGGAGAATAACTACTGTTTGTGGCTCCATTGAATGCTTTCTTGCAAAACAGATCCCAGCTTTGCTCTGGTGTCAAGGTCTCGAGTTTGTAGGGAATACTAAATGGATCAGCGTGCAAAGCGACTTCCTTGTTACGGGTGGTTATGATAATTTTGCTTCCCTTTCGCCCATTTGGGAAAGCGGATTTCAGGCAATCCCAATCTTCCTTCCTCCAAATATCATCAAGAACCAGCAAATATCGCTTCGAATCCAATATTTTGTAAAGCTTCGAAACCAATTCTTCCTCGTTCATTTGCTGAATCATCTCTATATCCTCTTTGCAGAAATGATTAGCCCTTTTGATGAACCCGTGCAACACATCTCTCCTGCTGGGTTGCTGAGATATAAAAGCCCAGGCGCTACAATCAAAGTGGTGTCTAACGTCTTTGTGATGGTAGACTTGCTTGGCGAGAGTAGTCTTTCCAAGACCCCCCATGCCAACGATGGAAACCACACGGAGCCGTCGGTCCTCGTTCAACAACTGAGCCACCAACTGGTGAGTGTTTTCTTCAAATCCAGTGACATCCTCTTCTACACCATGTGAATAGGTCCGTCTTAGTTGCTTCTGCGTCTCAATTGCAGAGATTTTCGCTGTATTTGAGTTGCTATTTTCTCCAATACCATATATTTGCCGACTCCTGTGAATGCTTGCAATCTTATTCTGGATTTCTTCGATTTGCTTTCCAAACTTATGGAGGTCTTTCCACTTGCTGTTGATGGTGAAGACCCTGTTTGGGAAGCCCTTCCATCCTCTTCTTTCCCTTCGTGCTGCTTCTTTCTGGATGTAGAGGGTAATAGCATCCTCAATCTCTGAAGCAAGGTCTCTAATTTCCGTAATCCAGTTGTTGATCGGTTGACCTTCTAATTGGTTCTCCTCTGCATATCTTAGAAAGCCTTGCATCCTTATCAATTCGGACCGCAGCCATTCAACTTGATTACTCACCCCAGAAAGTAAGACTTCTGCTTCTCTAGCGAGTAGAACACCGAGCCTAAATACAACAGAGGCAACAGCAGATTCAGCCATCTGAAACTCTTTCTCCCTATTCTTATGAGCATACTTCCTCGCACCATCTCAGATGATATTTACTTGAAGGAAAATGTGACCATGGACTTGACTAGTCAACCAATTGCGTACTCAATCCGGTTTATCAGTAGCATCTCTCTTTTATATGATCTATGATGCCGGAAAGACATGATACCCAAAACCAAAAGGTTTAGACGAATCACAACCACTTATAAATTGGATGAGAACCCTTAAACTGAAAAGAGCATTTTTTTTGTTTTTTGTTTTTTTTTTTTTAAGAAAAGAAACTGAAAAGGGCAATACTTTTTGGAAAGGGCTTCCTGTTTTTCAGAAATAGGCATGAAATATTAATAGTTTAGTTTGCTTACGATATACTTCTCGTCTGATATGGATACATATAGGTAGGGGTGTCAATGGACCAGTTTTGGGTTAGACTCCATCCAAATCAAAATCTATTTGAACAGATTGGACGAACCAATAAGACATATTGAATTTGGACGAACTGGATGACCAATATGACATATTGGATTAGACTTGGTCTGTCCATAATGAATTTATATTGGATTGAGCCAATATCTGGTCCATTGAAATGGACACTGGGTTGGAGGCTAAAATATTTGTTGGACTAGATTGGACTAAGTCCATTTGTAATGGACTCACATTGGATTGGACCGGATTGGACCAAATCCAGTCCACTTGACACTCCTACGTATAGGGTTGATCATCTTTTTCCTGGTCCAGTCCAGCCCACTAGCCCAGTCCTAAAATTTCTAGGGTGGGCCTTGGCCAATATCTTAGTCCTTACTTCCTGGTTGGTTGGTAAGGTATCCTGTTGATCATAACAGAGACTTTGGATCAAATCCCATCTGCACCTGGGTTGGGGGCTTATGGGTTTAGGGGACGAATTAACCCCAAATCCCCTTTGCGTTGCCCCTTGGAGGCTAAAGCAAAAAAAAAAAAAAAAAAAAAAAAAAAAAAAAAAAAAACAGGGTATAAATATATTAATAGGGCTGTTCATAAGAATGCCCAACCCGATCAAACCGACCAACCCGGACCGACCCAACCCGAGTCGGCCGGGTTTTCATTAGCACGGGTCGGTTTCAGGTTGTTCAAATTCCTAAACCGATGATTCGGATCGGTTTCGGTTTTCACACAAGAAAACCGAACCGACTTAGTTCAAACATGAAGTTCCAAGGCCCATTAGGCCACCTAGTTTTTGAATGGTTGCAAGAAACTTTGGATTAGTGAATAGTGATTAATAAATAACTTTTGTGATTAACTTTTCATTTAAATTTTATCATAGGAGATGGCTGAAATGATGTTCAATTTATGACTGCTTTTAAAATTAGCAAGATTTTATCACAGGGATGAACTTAGAACCGAAACCAACCCAAACTGACCCAACCCGACTCAAATCGACTAGGTCGATTTTGCTTAACACTGGGTCGGTTTTGGTTTCTATGTCAGGTAACCCGACCAAGTCGAGTCGATTGGAAAAATCGCAATAAACTGACCCAACCCAACCCGTGAACAGTGGAAAGTTTAACCAAATAAACATTTCTAGCAATCAGAAAACAAAAACCCGTATAGATTGTTGAGCCCTGATTTTCATGTCCAGTCCACTTTGAGTTTGATACTTGATAACATTGGGTGAGTAAGAGTCTCTTTTTGGTGAGTTGGTAACAACGTAGTAAAGTACACTAACATTTGGTATATTAACACAGAAAAAACACAAATATTTTGAGAGAAAAAATAATAGTTGGTATGTAAAAGTATACTTGAAATTTAAATTGCATAAAAGCATCTCCAATCATTTACCGAGAATTTTATGGTAATCGCACATTTTAATTTGTGTTTTTTGATGGGGAAAATGAGTGGAAGTTTCAACCCATGAAAAATAAAATGAAAGTTCAAGTAATTTTCGTTTTCATGTTTTTTTTTTTTTTCTCACCAAATCAATACCAGGTAAGGACTGGTCAAAAGTAGCCACTTAGCCAAACATTATATGCAAAATACAAGTCCTATGGTGGGCCAGCCCATTGTGAACGAGTGGACTTTTAGTGCCTTGGATGGATATTCTTTTGTCTTTTTCACAATGGATGTTTCCTCTTTGTCAAAATTGGGATATGCCCAATAACACAGCTGCAAGTTGTGCTGGGTTTGATGTTTTTGGGGCGATTAGTTCAGTTTCGGTTTTAAACATCGTTTATTAGAGTTTTCAGTTTTTAGTTTTGGTTATTGCATTTAGCAGTTTGGTTAATCGAAAAAACCAAACTTCTAGAGATAAATAGGTAAAAAATAACTTCCCTCTTAAGTCTTAACCTGAACACCTAATTTCCCAAATCCTATTCTTAATAGCAATTACAATTTCTAAAAAAACAACCCTCATTCATTTGCTTACCCAAAAGAGTTTGGGTTTGCAACTTTGCATAATCGATGGAAGGAGAAGCAGCGGCAGCTGGGAACTGGCGAACTGGGGTTCAAATACCTTTATGACAACTAAATTTTCCTTCTCCACCACTAACGGAAGGAGTGAGAAGGGAGATACAGCGGTGGTTGGCAATTAACAAACTAAGGTTCAAATAGTTCTAAGAGGATTGTGTTTTTCTTCTTCACCACCGATGGAAGGAGAGAGAAGGGAGATGCAGTGATGGCCGGCGATTGACAAACAAAGGTTCGAATAGTTCCGCTGGTGCCTGTGTTTTCCTTCTTCACCTCTGATGGAAGATAGAGCAAATGAATGAGAGTTGTGTTTTTGCCACTGCAATGACAGCCGACGATTGAGATTCGATTCGCACCGACTCTCTAGTCTTTCTACCATTATAGAACAAGGCCAGACAATATTCTCTTTTTTTTTTCACAATTACAGCAATAGCAGAAGATAGAGGTTCAAAATCTAGTGTGAACCCAATACTATTTCTCCCAAAACTTTCCGAAATTGCACCAGATCTCCCTGATCGTCCTACCATTGCAGGACAAAATCTACATTTTTAACGTTTTTTTTTGCAATTTATGCTTTTTCTTTTATTTTTATTTGCAATTTTTCCTTTTTATATTTTTTGTTGTTTTTATAATTTCTATTATTTTTCTACAATTTCTATTTTTTGTATTTTTTTACATTTGCTTCAATTTATGTATTTTCTTATAACTTATGTTATATTTTTGCTTTTTTGTAAATTTTTTGCAACTTATATAATTTTCTATTCTTTTGTTTTTATAATTTCCTATAATTTCCCTGTATAATTTTTTTGTTGTTTCCATGTTTTATACATTTTTATTTTCTTATTTGAAAAATATTTTTTGAATTTTATTATTCTTTTATTTTTCCACAAGTTTTGGGTTGAAATATATAATTATTTTAATTTTTTCAATTTAGGTATTTTATGCAATTTCTACTTTCTAAACAAATATCTTTTTTTAATTCTATCATTTTCATTTTTTCCTAACTTTTTGTTTTTTACTATTTTTCAAAATTTGTATGTTTTTATTAATACTGGTATTTCTCAATAATTTTCTTAATATTTGTACTTTTGTTTGGCTAAAGCATTTGTATTTTCTTAATATTTGCATTGGATTAGCAAGTCATATGAGTGGGTTAGGGTGGGTGAGGGTCAAGTGGGTTGTAAAGCATTAAGAACCAAAAACAAGGTGGGTCAAGTGGGTGACAAATGGGTCAAAGGGTCAATGTGGGTGGGCACCCATTTGCCACCCCTAAATTCATAAGGAGTGTTCCTACTACAATTAGTCATGACTATACTGTTATATTTATAAGCATGGTAAGCAAGTTCATGGCAGTAGTGTTACTTAAGGGTGTCAATGGACTGGTTTTGGATTGGACCCCGTCCAGTCCAAAATCAATTTGGACGGATTGGAAGGACTAAAAAGACATTGGATGGGACCAATCCGGTCCAAAACATTTATTAGATTGGATTGGACCTAATCGGTCTGTAATAAATTTATATTGGATTGGGTTGGATTAAGCCACTATCTGGTCCATTGATATAAGATAAGAATGTATGTATCAATGGACCAGGTTTGAGTTGAAATCAATCTAAATAAATCAAAATGAATTTGAATAGATTGGACAGTCCAGATATTGAATTGGACTGGTCCAAATTGGTCCAAAACATTCATTGGATTGGAGTGGACCTGGCCATTTATAATGGGCTCACATTGGACTGGATCGGATTGGACCAAATCCAGTCCAATTGACACCCCTAGTATTACCTGGTCTACTTATATGATTTAGACATACATAATCAAAATAAATTCAGAGATTCTAAACATGATATTTAAAGTGTGCAGATCCCTTTCAGCTTTTATGTCTTTATGAACTGTATTATCACCCCTGATGAATCACAAAAAAATAAAATAAAATAACAATAATAATAATAATAATAATAATAATAAGTTAATAACATTGACTTAGGGCCCATTCTTTTTTTTTTTTTTTGGATTTTGAGAGGGGAAAAATTGGTTAATGGGATCTTAGTTCCCATTGACCAAGATATTCATGTTCTTTTTTTTTTAATTCATGTGGGGTTCACTGAAAATTCATTTTCCCTAGGTATCACTTATCCAAGTAAGTGATACTCATCTCCCAAGTGAGAAAGAAAGTGATCAACACTTGGATGGGACAAATTACCATTTTTAATAATGATTTTTTTATTGTTAAAATGGTCATTGTCTTATTTATTTGAGAAATAAAAGAATATGGATAAATGCACTTACTGGAGTAAGTGTTTTGTGAAAAAAATTTATCCGAAAAAAAGCATTTACTCTAACTTCCCAAAAAACAAGCGGGGCCTTAATGTCCAGCCTCACTGCTTTCTTTAGTCCTATTAGTGCTCTGCATTCAACTTAGGCTGCAGATGTGGCTGGAATTCTTTGACTTTCTGCAGAAACAATAGATGAAGCCTTAGATAAAATTATGATTCCAATCACTACCCATGTAGTTGACATGTACGTAGGCTCCTTCTATGAAAAGCAGATATTAAGGAGGTCTGCATTGTAATGGTGAGCTTCTGTAATGGTGACATGAAAGATTCAACTTTTTCAATTAGTTGAGATGGATAGAGAGGAGGTTGGCCATGCAATTATGCACTTCTCATGTCCCAAATGAGTTTGAATAGGATGAGAAATTTTGCAATATGTATAGTTGTTGAGTATCTTTGGGAAGGGACTTTAATTTAGATTGTACCCATTGGGGCATGAATTGACTAAGCTGCAAATTTAGTATGGCCTCTGGGCTTAAGTCTATATGTGTTGTGAACAAAGAATAAATGTTGCCATGATTCTTGCGTTGATTTAAAGAAAGTGCGAAGTTGGTCTCATTGTGGCATGAAGATTTGGAACCTAATAGAACTTTAGCCCTCTAAACGATGTTCCATGACCTTGTTGGCTCTGAGGATGATGGGAAGTGGCTGATGAACAATGTGAT